CCCCAGCCGGCCTCCCGCTGAGCGTGGCGTCCGCGCGGCCCCGGGATGTACATGCAGGTGGAGACGCTCTCCAGTTCCCGCCTCCATCTGAAGAGGGCGCCGGGCATCCGGTCCTGGTCCCTGCTGGTCGGTAAGGGTTTCCATATTTCACCCCAAATAAGAAACGTCACTTAGAAATAGGTGAAAGTGACACTGAACTTTTCCTTCCTTGTTTTACTACCGACCCCCCAGCACAGCGCTGCCCTGTTCCTTTGTGTCCTCCCGGGTCTATCCTTGGTCTGTGCTGTTATGCTTAAAAATATGTTTTTATTGGTTTTATAGAGAGAAGGGAGAGGGAGAGATAGAAACATCGACTGGCTGCCTCCCGCATGCCCCCTGCTGGGGATCGAGCCTGCAACCTCAGGCATGTGCCCCTGCCGGGAACTAAACCTGTGACCTTCTGGTGCTGGGGCAACCAACTGAGCCACGTGGCTGGCCGTGTTCCCCCTTTCGCTGGCCCTCGTACACCTGCTCGCGGGTGTCTGATCTTCGCCGCAGGCCCACGTGCTGCGTGAGTGTGCCCTGTTTTCCCCCCAAATGGAGAGGCTGCCCTGGCCTCCATCCCCCTCGCTGCCAATCAGAGGGCCCACTGGCTGGGCAGCTGCCCCGGTGGCCTGTCTCCAGTCCTCCTTTCCCATGACCCTGCACGTGGCCTCCTCCGTTTCTCCTCAGCTGTTGTGTTGTGACACTGTACGTAGTTCTGTCTTCATTCCATTCCCTATACCATCGGGGTAACCCCCACGCTGGCTCCTCCGTCCGACTCCCAGTCCGCTCTGGGTCCTCACAGAGACGGAGGTGGCACCTGCATACTGTGAATGGCACGTGCCATGTTTGTGAAGAAACTCCCCGCTTCTGAGCCTGGCGGTCTCTCCCTGCTCCCCGCCCGCAGCCATGGCTGGTCCTGGGGAGGGGGCGGGCCCGGGGCTGGCGTGGTCCCACTGCAAGGCCCCTGCTTTCTCTCTGCAGGAATCCTGTCCATCGGCCTGGCTGCTGCCTACTACAGTGCAGGTGAGAGGCAGCGTCTGCTCCCGTAACTTCCTGGCTCTTGGGAAAACAGAGAAGAAGGAAAGCCCATCATCCGTGACCCAACAAGGCCCAGCCCCGGGAACGCCACCCGCCCCTCTGCCTCCTAGGGGCCCACGGGCGCAGCCGCACCGCTGTGTGCTGGTGGCTTCTCCCTCATGCCCGGCCCTTCTCACTGTATCTTGGGCATTTTCCTGGGTCAACAGAGATTCCTCGAGAGGGTACCCTCTTGTATCTGCGTAGGCCCTGTTGCGGGTTGAGCCATACTCTCAGGCCTCTCCTCTCCCTTCCACAAGCCGGGTGATTGGCAGACACCGCTGCCTGTCTCGAGGAGACGCCAGAGGGAGCGGGGCAGAGCTGGTGCAGCGTGGCCCTGAGCGCCTGGGAGAGCGGCCGCCCTGGGGGGAGGGACCCCTGTGAGCCCGCAGCCTGCGCTCTCTGCTGCTGCTCTCACGGGCTGTGTCCTGTTTGTCCCCAGATAGTCTGGGCTGGAAGATCTTCTACGTCACCGGCTGCCTGTTCGTGGCCGTGCAGAACCTCGAGGACTGGGAGGTAAGGCCACGGCAGCTCGGCCCCTGCTGAGACCAGCGAAGGCTCCTGGGAGCCTGGGCTGGCCCTGGTGCCTGCCCGGCGTTGCTCCTGGGCCGAGGAATCCTCTGAAGCCTTTTTCTCCTAGAAGCTCTTCGTGGCTGTTTTTACCCAAATTCTTTCCTCCCGAGGTCGCCGTAGCGCAGAATGCAACGGGGCCAGTCCGCTTCCTCGGTGGCCCTCCTCTCCCTTGTCCCTCTTCATGACCCTTTGAGCTGCCTGGCCCTGTGCTGCTCTCTGAACCCGTTCCCTCATTGGGTGACCTTGGCCACTGTCCTTTGTCCTTGAACAACTGCCTCGAGCCCCCGGGCCTCTGCGCTCACTCCTGTCAGGGTCTCGGTCATGCTGCAGGTGTTTGGCTTTGGTAGAGCAGCTTGGGCGCTGGCGTTGGGATCTGACTGGGATGGGAAGGGCGAGGGTGGGACAGTCGGCGAGCCAGGCCCTCTGGGTTTGTGTGGGTGGCTCCTGCCCAGCGGCCAGCAGCCAGTGACCCTGTGGCCGTTTCCAGGAAGCCATCTTCGACAAGAGCACCGGCAAGGTCGTGCTGAAGACATTCAGCTTGTACAAGAAGCTGCTGACCCTCCTCCGAGCAGGCCACGACCAGGGTGAGGCGTTGGGACTGAACGGGACACGGGCTACCCCGGGCTGGACAGGGCAGCCAGGGCTGAGTGACGGCTGGGACTGGGCCTGAGGCCTGGGTCCAAGCTGGCTGCTCGGTAGTCAGGGTTGTATCCCGCCTCGGGGGGGATGTGGGGGCCCCTCAACACAGCCTGGCCTGAGGCTACTGCCAGGCAGCCCCAGCTCATTGCCCGGCCACTCAGGACCAGGCAGGCACTCTCAGCCATTGGGGAAATGAAGCAGAAAGACAGGGGGACAGGCAGGCCTTTCGAGGCCACGATGGGCCAGATGTTCCTTCTCACCAGACTGGCCGTGACCCCGCAGCTGCAGGACCCTGCGCTGTGGCCACTGACCTGTGACACCAAAGGTCGGGGTCTGGCTGTCTCCTGGGGTTCGGCCTCGGACACAGTGACCGATGCTTTCTGCTTCATGGCAAGCGTGGCATAGCCTCTGCAGAGTGGCCCGGAAGTGACCGCGCCCGCACCCAGGTGGGGGGACGCTG